AGCTGTCCTCCAAGGGCTAGTGGCTGAGAGGTGGAGTTAGAAGCTTCTGGGCTCTGGAAACCTCCTGTTCTTGCTGCTCACTCACTCAGTGAGCTGATCCTCCAGTCCTCAGCTCTCACTCTGAGAAGTGGGCTGTTCCTGTGAAGGCTTTCCTGCTTGGGGAGCAGGTTACTAGGGGGCCCGAAGGAGCCTCTTTGCTGTGAGGTCTAGTTCTTTGACAATGGACCAAACTTTTCATTTAAATGAGACAAAATTTACCACAGAGAGGGACAAATGGACTTAAATGCATTCACCAGAAGTTATAAAACAACCAATTCAGATAATTTCCCAGTGGAGGGATCCGGAGGGTGCTAGAGTGGGCGGCAAAGTGCTGAGAATCACAGGAGCTGGTGGACCTCAGGGACCATCTGGCCCTGGACTTCTTGGAAGTGTTTTATACAGAGTCCCAGCCCCACAGGATGCTCTGAAAAAGGGGGATGGGTTTGGGAAAAAATGTCCTTTCAGACAGTCAAGAAGCATAGTAGCTAACAGCCTGACAGGAGAAAAAAAGTTGCATTCTTTGTTTTCCTAAACTTTTCTGCTGGCCTCTCCTGCTTTCAGTGGGTGGGAACTGCAACATAGAGGGGACAGCTGGCCCAGAGCCCCACAGTAACTTAGGGTCTGTCTTAGTCTGGGTCCTCTAGAGAAGCAAAACCAGTGATGCATATATATAAATATATAGAGATTTACTTCAAGGAAATGGCTCACAATTGTGAGAGCTGGCAAGTCCCAAATTTGTGGGTCAGGCAGCCAGCTGAAGACTTGTGCTGGCTCTTGTGCTGGCTCTTGGGGGTTGCAGGGGCTGGCAGATCCAAACTCTGCAGGTCAGGTGACAGGCGGAAGACTTCTGCAGGCTTATGTCCCAAGAACCAGAAGTCAGACGACGAGAAGAGTGCAGGGTCGAGAGAGAGAGAAAGCCTTGCCGGAACATCCATTCATACACTGGAGACAGGCTATACCCTCAAGGAAACTCCCCTGTCAGCTGATTGGCTGGTCAAATCAGATCACATCACGGAGGTGATTGCATATTACAGTATGTAAAAGCAATTAGTCCGATGTCTGCCAAATAGCTGGAATCATAGCCTCGCCAAGTTGACACATAACATTAACCATCACAGGGCCCAGCCCAGGCCGGGACCAGGCTTCCTCCAGCCCCTCTGGCGGGGTCTGGGTGCAGCTGTGACCAGCTCAGTCCAGTTTGGGTCGAGACTGGGGAGTGAATCAAACTCTCCCTGCAATCTGAAAGCCTCCCTGCTGACTTTTGATTTTTCTAAAGAAAAGGCATCCTTTTAGTATTTATCTGTTACCACCTGTTTCTTTGAGTTTTATTAGATTTCACTTGGCTGAGGCCAGACACCTGTTTCCAGAGGCTTATTTCATGCAGAGGGTGTTGCTTTCAGAGACTTCAAGGTGAAAACACAAACCACGTGCAACCCTGAAGCCCCGTGCTGGATGAAGCACATTTCACAGTGAACCAGGGCCCTGAGGGAGCGGTGAAGGAGGAGGGCTAGTGTGCCAGGTTCAAAATCCCGCAAGGGGCCTAGTGGCCTTAGAAGAGCAGCAGGGTCACAGAGCTACCCGGTCAGTGGCCCTGAGGGGGGCCAGAGAGCCCCACTCCTTGCCCCTCACCGCTCTGCCAGGCTGGATAGTGACCTCCCATCAGGTAGGTTCATTGCTTGGACCTCCGCACAGTGCACCTCCCACCCCAGAGTTTCTGGTTGGAGTAGGTTAGTCAGTGTCGACTGGACATCTCCTTGGCGCCAGGCTCCAGAGGCTGCGTCTGAAGCGCCCAGGCATCCACAGGGCTGGGAACCAGGCACTGCCCACCTGACATCCGACCAGAGGTGCGGAGGCTTTGTTGAACCTTGAAGCATGGCCTCTTTTAGGGAGAGGGGAGTGTGGCAGTTGTCACTTTTGCTAGTTTGCTTTGCTCTCTGGTGTTTTCCAAGCCTGAGGGAGGTGCCTAGCTCTTAACTCTCACAGCCCCTCTCTCCCGTGCTCGGACAGGCCCCCTCCTTTGTGGGGCTCTTACCTCGTCTGCGTAATCTGTCTTTGCATGTTTTTGAGGGTTCTTCGGGGCGTGTTTGTGTGCACACCAGAAAGACTACTTATAGCTACTTGATGGTTTCAATTTATATTTGACATATTGAAATAGAAATTTTAAAACTTAGTTTTTCCTTAAGCTTTTAAGTTCAACTTACAAATCTCGTTCTATTTATTATGCACCTAGTAAATTTAAACAATCATGTTTAAAGGGGTGTTTATAACTACATTAATTAAATTTCCATAAACATGTTGAAGTGATTTTATAAATTTAACCTACTTAATTTTCTTAAATCTATAAATAGCCATTCTAAAAAACAGAACTTTCCTGAGTTCCTAAAAATTTGCTAAAATTTAGTAAATTAAGCTTATAAATATGGTGAATATTGTTGTTGTTATTAGGTGCTGTCAAGTCGGTTCTAAAAGATAGCGACCCTGTATACAACAGAACGCAAGACTGCCCAGTCCTGCGCCATCATCGCAATCGTTACGCTTGAGCCCATTGTTGCAGCCGCTGTGTCAATCCATCTCGTCTTTGGAGTGCCTTCCAACCTGAGGGGCTCATCTTGTTTTAACTGTGCTTTCTCAAATTGAACTGAGAGCCATCTTGGCGTAAGTGATCGTACAGAAAGCATTTCTGACTAGCCCAGTCCCACCTATGAGAGCAGACAGCAGAGGGGATTATGTCAGGGATACAGACACCCACAGAAGGCCCAAGGCTGGTGGAAAACAGCATGTAGATTTCTGGCAGTAATGGTCCTTGGTTGCCCACAGCTGTGCCTCTTTTCTCCCTATTGCCTGGTATCCCCCGGGGAGATGCCACCTCTGTCCTCATCTGGTGTCTTAGCTTCCTAAGGCTTCCATAACAAAGTACCACCAACTGGGTGGCTAAAACAACAGCTGTTTATTCTCTCACATATTCCCTCACACAAGTCTGAGATCAAGGTGTTGGCAGGACTGTATACTCTCTGAAGGGTCTAGGGGAAGATCTTTCCTTGCCTCTTCTAGATTCTGGTGGTTGTGGCTGCAACACTTCAATCTCTGCTTCCATCTTCATGTGTCTTCTTCTCTGTGTTGTCTTCTCTGTATGTCTCTTATAAAGACACTTGTCATTGGATTTAGGGCCCACCTGGATAATCCAGGATGATCCCCTCATCTCATGATCCTTAATTGCATCTGCAAAGACCCTTTTTCCAAATAAGGTCACGTTCACAGATCACTGGGATTGGGACATGAACATACCTTTTTGGGGCCACCATCCAGCCCACTGTGTCTGTTTCTTGGTGTCCTTTTCCTCCTCCTTGACACTTGCAGGACTCTTCCCACCTTCCTGAGAGCCCATTGCGTTCTTTCAGCCTGCAGCTTCTCAGGAGAAGTAAGCTTGTCTGCACCAGGCTCCGTAACTCTTGAGGTGCTCTGGCTTCTCCCTGGTGGCTTCCTCTGGCTGCATTTCCCTAACACCTGACATTTCCTTTCCCTCCCCTGGGAATCCCTGGAACAAAAGCCAAATGTCACGGGAAGGGGTACAGGATCAGCACCCAGCTCAGGCAACCAGCGGAGGCCTGGTACTCCCCAGGCTCCGCCCCTCCCGTAGGCATCACTGCCTTTGATGTTCTGGAGACCGGAGGAGAAAAAAAAAAACCCTGTTCCACTTCCTGCCTGCCCTCTGGACTCTAATTAATTTCCTTTGGGTGGACTGTGTTCGATTACAACCTCGTTAAGCTGCTTTGCACATTCTGGCTCTGGTGGTTTCAGTATTGAAGCCGTCTGGCTCTGCCGATTAATGTTCGGGGTTGCTTCCTCCCTTGTTACCCTCTCTGTCGCAAAAACTGCGGAGTCATGCCTGAAGGAGAGACACACAAACAAGCTGCTTTCCCACAAGGGCTCCTTATGGGAATAGGCTTAAAACCTTGAGTTTAAAAGGGAAAGGGGTAGTCATGGTTTAAAATAGCATGTGGCTAGCAGCCTCCTATGTGACTTCTCCCAGCATGCCCTTAAAATACCTAAGAAGACACACCAAAAAAGATGAAAATTCTCAGAACACTGAAAGCAAAGACAGGTGGACAGTCTGAGAAGAATCTCACCTCTCTATAAGACAGATGGAGCTGGTCCAAGAGACAAACAATCCACGCTTCCCCTCAGGAATCCAAGACCTCCCAAAGAAAGGTTAACTGGTTGCCCATTAAGTGAACTCTGACTCATGGCGACCCCTTGTGTGTCAGAATAGAACTGTGCTCCATAGGGTTTTCAATGGCTGATCTTTCAGAAGTAGATCACCAGGCCTTTCTTCCAAGGTGCCTCTGGGGGTACTTGAACCTCCAACATTTCAGTTAGTTGAGCACATTAATTGTTTGCGCCACCCAAGGACTCCCAAAGAAAGGTAGGAAGATGCTTTCACCCTCCTTCTGAGGACTTTACCAATCAGAAGATCCCACAACTGCCCCTTTACCATACAAGTAATGATTTTGAGGTAGCAAGAGTGCTGCTTCCACCCTCCCTCGCTTTACTGTCCCCCATTCAGACACAGCAACTCCAGAAAACCACCAGGCAGGAATTGGGGAGGGGGTGTGGCCTATACAAGTCCAGCTCAGTGGGCTTAGTCAAGGATGGGACAAGTCGTGGTAGTACAGGCACTATTCTAGATTGTCGCGGACCCCATCATTGTGCAATATCAGAGGTCCAGGCTGCAGGGTGGGCAAAGGGGTAGTCATGGTTTAAAATAGCATGTGGCTACTTCACAGGGTCAGGGTCATGTTTGCTAGCTACCCAAGGCAAGGTCTCAAGCCAAGCTCATCAGCCAGCCAGAGACTAAAGAGAGGGATTGCATTCCTACGCAGGGAGGCAGCCATGGAGACAAGGGTATCCTGAGAGACATGGGTCTCACTAGACTGCACCTCCTTCCAGAGTAAGTGGGGTACTTGCTTTGGCAGCATATATACTCAAATTGGAGTGATACAGAGAAGACTAGCGTGGCGTTTGCACAAGGAAGACACACAAATTTGTGATGCGCTCCATTTATTTAAAGGAGGAAACACTGAGTTTCTGTTTGTGGTGATGGAAAATGTGGCAACCAATATTGGTGATGGTTGCACAACATGATTAATGTAACTAGCGTCACTAAATTGTACACATGAATTATCTTGGAATGGCAAATGTGTTATGTATCTTTACAACAATAAAAGAAAAAACAAAAAGAGTGAGTAAGTGGGGAACAAACACTGCGTGTGAGATAAATACTGTGGAACCTGAACTCTGACCTCTGAAAATGATTATAGCAGGATCCAGAAGAAATGAACTTTGTGGGAAAAGAACAAAATGCCACATATAAGGCCAAGCCGAGATGAAAAAAAATAACAGGATGAGATGAAAAGGGACATTAATGTGCATGTTTTAGGCAGGGTTCTCTAGAGGAGCAAAACCAGTGAAGTATATGTATAAATATAGAGAGAGAGATTTACTTCAAGAAATGGCTCATGCAATTATCGGAGCTGGCACCAAAATCTGTGGGTCAGATGGCAGGCTTCTGACTCACAGGGTCATGGGAGCTGGTGGATCCAAAATCTACACGGCAGGCAGCAGGCTGCTGGCTCATAGGGTTGCAGGAGCTGGCAAATCCAAAATCAGCAGGGCAGGTGGCAGGCTGCAGGCTTCTCATGTCCCAAGAACCAGAGGTCAGACAGGACAAGTGCAGGATCAGGAAAGAGAGCTTTGTCAGAACATCCATTAATATATTGGATGCAGGCCACACCCTCAAGGAAACTCCCCTTCGAACTGATTGGCTGTTCACATCAGATCACAAAATGGAGGATGATATGTAGTGTCTGCCAAGCCACTGAGTCTCGTGGCCTAGCCAGGTTGACACATAACAGTAACCATCACACAGCATAATAAAAATTGCAAGGAAATTAGATGATAGCAGACTTGAGATCCTTATTGGAAACAGAAGAATGTAGAATTGATGCTGCAGAATGTGAAATCAATGGCATGGAAGACAAACTTGAGACCCTCTTTGAAATTGCATTATGAAAACAATAAGAAAAAAAATAAACAGAAGACTCTGAGAGCCAACGTTGGAGTTCCTGAAGAAGAGACTGGCTGAAAAAAAGGTTTGTGTTTGTCAATAGAAAGATCCACAAGTGCACACATGGTGGCAGAATTTTTTAATTACCAAGTGTGACAGGCAGAAAACAGAATGACCAGATATACATTCAACCTTTTGCTCCCTCCTATCTCAAGAAGGGGTCTGTTTGCCTTCCTGGGTCTCAGGGTTTGTCTGATCTGAGAGCTGGATCAACCACAGAAGTTAGGTTGACCTGTATTAGAAAGAGAAGGGATGAGAAATTGTCAACAAGTCAGGTAGTGGAAGAGAGACAGGGAAAGGATTTAGAAGTTTGGGGTGAGTCACAAATGCGATGCCTCTTTGGTGACTTTGAGAGACTGCTGTAAAGATAAAATTGCCTTTCAGTCTACCTATGTGTTAAACTGATGTTCCTAGAGAAGGGAATAGTGTGCTGGAAAAGCAACAGGGTTAGTGGCAAAGACAGTCCTACCCGTGTCCAGGCCGAAGAGGCTGCTAAAGAAACAAAAGTCAGGTGTGCCTTGGAGGTCTCAGTACTGCATACCAGAAGGCACGGAGGAGTGCCTACAGTGCTTTGAAGGGAGTTTATATCCAGCCAGGTTGTCTTAGAGATGTGACTTCAACATAAATGGATTTTCAGGATGGAAAATAAATCATCCTTTTGGAGAAAAAGGGGATGGATTTATTGATGATATTCTCCCATAGTCCAACATACAAAGTAAAAGTCTGAGCTCAATAATGGGGACGTATTGATGAACAGGAGTCCCAGGGTGCTGCAAACAGTTAATACACTCAGCTACTAACCGAAACGTTGGAGGTTTGAGTCCACCCACAGGTGCCTCAGGAGAAAGGCCTGGCAATCTACTTCCAAATAATCAGCTGTTGAAAACCCGACGGGATTCTGGGAAGATGGTGGCATAAATAGACCATTGTTTCAACCCTGTCCACAAATACAAGAAATAACAAGGAAATGATGTTCAGCTTTGAGGGACTCTGAATCAAGAGCAGAGGACAGAAACGGGGAACTGCAGACAGGCAAGAATCAACAAACCAACAACGAGTCACATACAGCAGGAAAATCACTTCTCCCACCATTCCTCCCCTTCTCTCTGTCAAGCAGGCGGCAGGCTGCTGTGAGCTGGAGAAGTGGCACCAACCAAAGAGCCTGCTTGCCTAACCACCACACACCCTGCCTTTACAAAGAAAGAACCCCAAGCTTCTGATCTAAAAGCAACAAGGCAGACCTCCCCGAGTGTTGGTCCTGAGCGTGGCAGCACCTTCCCCACCCAGATACTGTCAGCTGCAAGGCTGCTGTGAATTAATAAAGGCCTCTGCAGTGGAGTCTGCTCCCATAGTCAACTCTCTACCTGCCTCCCTGCACATCCCATAGCTCAGGCCTCTGTAACCAACAAGACAGACCTCCCTACGGATCAGTTTGGATCTGTCTGCTTCCCCTTCCAGTCAGTGCTGAGGGCTGCTGACTAGGGCTGCTGTGAGCTAGGAAGCAGACATCTTGAGTGAAGGCTGCACTCAGAGCCAACATACAACAGTGGGGACTCAGATAGCAACAAGGTAGACCTGCCTGGGGTCTGTTCAGAGTGTGACAGTCCCTCACCCAACAGAGACTGGCAACTACAAGGCTGCTGCAAACTGCAACAGAAGGCCCCTGCAGTCAAGTCTGCTCTCATAGGCAGCATCTACCTGCGTCTCTGAACATCCCATAGCTCAGGCCCCCAAAACCACAAGACAGACCTCCCTGGGGGTCAGTTTGGGTCTGTCTGTCCCCCTTTCTGGTCGATGCTGAGGACTACTGACTGAGGCTGCTGTGTGCTAGGAAAAGGGTCCCTTGAGTGGAGGCTGCAGTCACAGACAATAGTCTACTGGGAGGACTCTGATAGCAACAAGGCAGACCTCCCTAGGGGTCCATTCAGAGCATGACAATCCCTGCCTCACCTGGTATGTTGGCTGCTGAACTGATGTGAACTCTTACAGCAGGTTCCCAACAGTGGAGCCAGGAGGTGGGTCACCTAAGTGGGGATTGCTTTCCCAAAAACCACAGGGCCACTAGGGCTCTGAAACCAAGGCAGATCTCTCAGGAGTCCTTTTGGAGACTGCCAGCCCCTCCTCCTGAAATGGGGGAGAGTCAGCTTGTGCTTCCCTTGAGTGCCAGCTCATATAAAAACCAAAAACCAAACCCACTGCCGTCGAGTCAATTCCGACTCATAGTGACTCTATAGGACAGAGTAGAGCTACTCCATAGGGTTTCCAAGGAGCAGCTGGTGGATTTTAACTGCCGACCTTTTGGTTAGCAGCCAGACTCTTGACCACTGCACTACCAGGGCTCTGCTCAGCTATAAGCAGCCCCCAAAGAGCAAAAAAGGAAGCCTCGGGCAAAACCAGCCAGCAACACCCAGCCACAAAGGGGGCTCACTGGGTGTGGGTTTCCCAACTGAAAACATGGTTGCAGAAACAGAGAAGGGAAAGGGAGCACAGTAATGTGCTGCATAACATCCATTCAGGCAACATCCGACCGCATATAAGTCCATGGTCCCATAAGGTTATGTGGGGAAATCAGTGGCATGTTTACAGCATTTGCTACCTCAGTGCTTGCTGGCGGCCGGCTCTTGCATCATGCGGGCCTGCCATGCTGAGCATGTGTGTAGGACTGACAAACCATTGCTTGGCAACACTAGGCAGGCAAATGGAATAATAAATGCAATGGGTGCAAATTACCTGCCTCCTTTTGCTAAAGTGAGTTTGTCAGCCCCACACGCACCACTCAACATGGGAGGCCCACATGCTGTGAGAGCTGGCTGCCAATGAGCACCTGAGGTCACAAATGCCATAAACACACCACTGATTTCCCCATATGGGACCACAGACATATATGTGGTTGGATATTGCCTGAACAGACTTTATGCAGTATGTAACTGTATGGTGTTTGCACAACATCCAAATCACATAACATCCTATTTCACAGAACATATGTGGACGTTAAGCAACACATGACTGTAATAACCAGACAGAGAGGGGATTGTGCACCCTGGTGGACAGATTGATCAGTGTGCAATATCTCACCTGAGTGGCAGTGCCTGCTGGTGGACAGATTGACCACAGCATGTTCTCTGCTGTGTTTGGAAGACCTTGAAAGTTGAAACCCGAGATTCGGAACTTCCTAATACTAATTAAACTAGGGAGGGAGAAGGAGCTATCATAGAGAAGGAGAGGAAATTGTAAAGCAAAGACCAAAGTTTCTGCCTGCTAAAGGGTTTTCTGCAGAAAGTAGTGCAGACAGAAACACCAAATACTGGAAAGAACTGAGAAAGTTAACACCCTAAAAAATTCCAATGCTCCAACAAAAAATCGTGCAAAGAATAGAGAAAAAATGGCCCATCCAAATGAACATGATGAAGGGAGTGAACACCCAACTATGAAAGACTGAATAATGAAAAGAATGGAAGAATATAATACAACAATGTTAAACATAATAAATGAGTTAAGGAAAAATGAAAAAGATTTGAAAAATATAAGGAAAACAATGCAAAAACAAAATGAGGATCTAAAAAAAATAGATAAAAAGAAACCAAACAGAAATATTGCAACTGATCAGGACAATAACTGAAATGAGGAACACAATGAAGTATTTAACAACATTAATCAGGCAGAAGAAAGAATCAGTGAATTAGAGGATAAGATAGAAATACAGAGGCTGAAGAGCAACAAGACTGGAGACTGAAGAAGGCTGAGGAGTTATGGGACAAGAGACTTAATATACGCATCATGAGAATTCATGAAGGAGATGAGAGAGAAAAAAGGACAGAAAGAATATTTGAAGAAATAATGACAGAAAATTCCCCAAATCTGATAAAGGGCATGAGTCTACAAATCCAAGAAGCTTAAAGAACCCCAAGCAGGATGAACACAAAGAGATCTACACTGAGAC